CAGTGAGGCCTCTGGTGACATCGCTGTCTGCGCAGGCTCCCATCTCCACCTGTGGAACATCTCAGGGGAACCAATCGCCTCGCTGAACACCACTCCCGACCAGAGCAATCAGATCTTCTGCGTGTCCATGAGCACCGTAAGTGCCGGCGCATTTTACTGTCATTTTTCGCGATCCCCGTGGCGCACCGATAAGATGTTTCTTTGGCGTCTGTGAATTTAACCTCTCAGGTAAATCGATCGCGAGGGAGACCTATCTGCCAACCGCAGTCGACGCGATATAGGCAGTATTTAGCCCGTAAAAGCAGGTTATTTAGAGATACCTAAATAGCTACCTATATGCGTTTCAGTAGGTTGTAGTTTTGCTCATTTATTTTAGTGAAACATCATTTCACCATACTTCGCCTCACCGCATTGCATTCCTTTGGTGACGGTTGGTTCACTTTGTCTAGTCATTTTACGGGTCCAATTAGTCTAAGTCCACTGCAGTCCTCACACGGAAATATTTAGTGACCTGCTATTACATTTCGACCACGGGATATACAACAACTGTACTGATTTCGTTAGCCGCGTTGGTTGCTTCTTTCGACATACTCCATTGCACCCACACATGGAAATACGTCCTACCGTATATTCCACTAGCGCTGGCGTTTCATGATCGTTGCTAGGAGTCCTATGAATTGACATTTCATATCATATTGTCCGAATGAATAAATTTGGCTACTTCCTCGGACGTACTCACACAATCGTATTGAGCTTCCGTTCTTTTCCCCTTTGCTTAAGTCATATAATTAATCTTGCTAAAGCGTTATGCACTGCCTATTTTTATAATCACTTGTAATTACATAACTAGTACTTTGATTAACATGAATATTAATAATCTATTCTTTCAGCATAAATGCTACTATTTGGTGAATAAAAATAATTTCACATTTCTTTTGTCTCCAAGTTACTTTCGACAGAAGCCTATTCTCTTTTTATTTGCTTTACAAATTAACGCGAATGTACAAATTCTGATGCTCGGCCTAGCTCCTTCCAGTCCC